GGCAAGGAAAGACTAACCCAGGGGCTCTGGCAAACTGGGAGCTATCCTGACTCAACCTGCACAACTTGCTATGAATTTCATTTTGTTTTCGGACAACAGACACCACACATACTTTCATTCTTTTCCTCCACACCCCACCAAATTATATATTACCCTGGATAGTCATCCAAGACCTGTCACTCGTGTGAGTCCCTTCGCCTCATCACTAGTAGGAAGTGCATTTGAGTTTCAGCTTGTCAAAATTGCAAAGTTATGGTAAAACAAAAAGCTGGGGGAGGGAAGATTATGTTTCCTTAAAAACTGCTCTCAGGACGACATGGCCAGCTTTCTTCTCAGTGGAAAAAAACGGGTAGGGGACATCTGAAAAAGGATTATGCAAATCCTACCCTGACACAGAGTTGGGAGCTAGGGTGAGCTCCTTGGTCCTGAAGCTTAAATGCAGCCGGAATCAATTCACCAGACACAACTTTCCCAAGTTCGGGGACCTGGGCCCAGGGTGAAGACAAAAATGGTCTGTCCTGGCACTGCAACACAACCAGCAGGTCCACAGCCTCTGTCAGGCACATTTGCTTGAGGCTGTGCAAGCAGCCTGCAAGGACCCTGGTGTGAGACCTTCATCAAACATGGAATACTTTGCATGAAAAAATTTGGGCATTAAATAGTTGTGGAAACCTCCCTGCAAGCAGGACTAGAGATCCAAACAACTACACCTTGCGAAGCAGAAGCATTTGCTGCACCAGCTGGTGCAGGTCCCTCGCTCCCTGCTCCCAGTAGATCATCTGTATCGCTGTCAATGTCTGTCCAGGCAGGTGCTGTGTGTGAAGCACTGATATAGTGCTTATTTTAATGACGAAGAGGAACCAACCACTTCTGAACACATAGTGAACAGATGTACGGAGAGATGTCTGTATAAAATGATGCATCATTTTCAACACACTCTAGTGAAACTCGGGTCCTGGAGTACTAAGCAAGAACTTTTTTTTTTGTCTGATCCTGGAAAAACTGGGGAGTACTGGTCAGTTTGTGAACGGGGGTTCCAACAGCTTGAGCAAGCAATAAAGAGGGAGTTTAATAAAATAATGTCTTACCAAGATCATGGCTTTGTTCCTTGGTGTCAAACAGCTGCACACTGATGGTCTCCTGCTTCTGGTCCAGGTAATAGGTCCCATCAGTGACCAAGTGAACTAGGACTGCTGCAGCTACCATGGGCTGGGAAAAATAAGCCTGGGAAAACAAAAGCCCCACAAAGGCTGAGGTGTTGAACTGTAGTGGGCTTTAAAAAAACCCAAGAGTCAGTCCAGGATTTTTAAAATAACAATTCCCATATCCCAGGTCACACAGAAGTCTTCTCTTCCAATCTTTCCTACACACACTAGATAAGCTCGAGTCAAACAGCCCTGCAGCTGGAGGCTGTAACCTCTCAGAAATTCAACAGCCTTGTCACAGGAGGGGACTTCACCACTCTCTCTAGACAGTGCTCAGAGGCTTTGTTTTCCTATTTTGCACTAAACACACTTCAAAGAAAGGAGCAGCTTGTCCCGGGGAAGGCTGTCCCATGATATTTTGCCTGTTGGAGAAACTTCGTACAGGCAGGCAAAGAGAAGACTTCTGAATGACACGTGAACTTCCTACCTTCAGCCAGAAAACGGTCTGTGTCATGTGGGAGTACTGGAAGCTGGCTGTGCAGGGATACCAGGCATACTGAGAGACACCATCGTTCAAGTCAATCACTTTAGTTCGACACACCTGTGAGAGAAAAAAGAAATAGCAAAACAGACGTAGAGGACAGTAAGGAAGGATTATGATTGTTTAAAGTAGGGAGGAAAGTCCAGCTGCACTGCTAGAATAAAATAACGTACCATACTAACGTTTCTAAATACCATGAGATTATTCAAAAGTTACGTTTCCAGGTCTTCCACCTCAATAAGAAAAACTGAAACATGAAAAGGAGCTAAAGACTCACAGCAGCTGGATGGCAGCCAACAGTTTCCTCTGAATTTGGTATGAGGTCTTTGACAGCATTCAGAACTTTACTCCCACCCAAATGGACCACAACTCTTCCCACTGGAGTCAGAGTGATGATCACTTCTGAACGCACCAACTCGCAGCACAGACAGCCTGCAAATGCTCCCCCCGGTACTCAAGCAATGTCCTATTTAAACCTGCATGTTACTGTAACCCCAGGGAAGCCACAGATGGCCATGTAAACTTGGAAGCAAGTGTAGCCAGGAAAGGCCTGTCTCTACAACACAATTTAAGCAAATTAGTTTCTCATTTTGTTAACCAGTTTCTGTAAGTGGAATCACCTTCTTACACCTCCAGCACTTTCCATGGCAGGCAGCAGTGGGATTATAAGCAAACTGCTCTTTTCAACAAAGAACAAGTAGATGAATCCCAAGTGCTGGCATGGATGAAAAGCTCAGAGATGAAAATGCCTGAATTTAAGTGCCAGAGAGCATTGCATTGCCTCCAGTACGTACGAAGTGAAAATGCAGCCACAAGAAATGGTAGGATTTACACTAAAACTTCACCACTCAGTGAAGCTACTTCAAAAAATAAACATACATGATCAGAGCCTTCACTCCCCCAGCAAACATGAGAAAGGAAATGCCCACCACGCAAAAGGCTACAACTGCATTAGAAGGATGCTTCCAGCTGAGGGTCTCAAGTGTCTGAAGGGTATCTGTGAAGATTCACAACACTTTGGTGAACTCAGTGACTGTCACTGCCAGAGTCCCGAGGATATAGGGAATTCCTTGTGGTCACATAGTGTAGTGGCAATGGAGCTATGAATGCAGCCCAGGAGCCCAAACCATCTCCAGCAGTTGTGCTAGCCATGGGAGAGCCCAGGACTCATCTCACGGACCACCTGTGCTAGGTGCTAACTGGAGCTGTGTACCCCTGGGGACGGTATCAGATTTCTTTCCAAGACCAGAGCCTGAACTGAGCAATCAGGTGGTGATGTGCCGTCAGTAAAGTGGCTCCCATAAGTAATTTCCCTGATTATTAAAACAAAAAGAAAGGCCTGAAGTGAAACAAGACAGTTAACAGAGATGGTTTTAACCATTCAAAATTCTATGCCCACTCAGTAATTCTGCACGGAACTGCCCTCTTGGTCTCAGCAGGCAGAATCTGGGTGATGCAAAGATGCCTGGGAATGAGAAACCAGATTGGCTAAAAATGAGGTAATCACCTCTATAATCTGAGTCCCTCAAGATCCAGCACAGAGGAATCTATGGGCAAAACATAAATCAGCTTTAATGGGCTGGAAGAAGATTTTTAGTTTATTTATTTTTTAAAACAACTGGGACCAAGCTTCATTGAGGCTAGCCAGTGGATAGTGTTACATTTTACAGCAGAGCAAGGCTTTACATAAACTATCTTTGGCATTTGAAATCCAGGCCAGCAATTCGACATGTACCATTTCGCAATTCTCCCTTCTTGCATTTTCAGCAGCCTGTCTCTTGTTGGGAGCATGGTTTTTATTTTAATACCTCTCCAGCTAGGGAATTTATCTTACCCACATCTGCAATTTATATGGTCAGAGAGCTCTTTGACATGAACAAGGGTCTCATTACTTTTATATGATTTTGTTCTTATTCTTACATCTCCTCCTGCTCAATTGGTCCAAAAAGGTGGTTGAAAGAAACAAAAGTACCGACGTTTGGTGCATTTTAAGTGCCACTTAATGGATGAGTGAAAACCTGTATTAAGAAATCACCCAGATCTTCATCAAAAGTTTGAACCGAACCCAAAATAAACCCTGGCTGAGGTGGGTTGGAAATCTCTGATAACTTTTAAATGCCTTGTTTGATTTGTGTGCGTGTGCGAACTCCAGCACTTTCTGCTTCTGCCTGAGAATATTAGCAAAAATCTTAACATTGCATAAGGAGCCTGTGTTTGAGACCTGTGCAGCTGAGGTGTGCGGAATCAGGAGACTGGTCTGGTTTGAACAGGTTAGATAAGCTTCCTCCCGCTGAGGCTGATCCATCGCTATTCAGACAAGGGTTTCAAAGCCATACTGGGGTAAAAAGTTCTTTCAGGAGAAGAGTATAATTGAGAAGTGTGGGAAAAGTCTAACAGACACGACACTGAGTGGCTACGAGAGTCTCTTCTACACTAGCTGCTATCTAGTAAACTTAGCTCACGGCAAAAAAGTTCTTTAAGATTTTGTAATAACAATTCGATTGGATAAACAGTCCCCATCTCCTACAGACTCCACCACCTTAACAGGCTCCAACGCACGTGGCAAATGCATCCCCTTTCCAGTTCTACCTGGTTACTGAGTGTCACACCCCACCTGCAAAGTCAGAGAACCTTTTGCTGGGAGTGTCTTTCACACCTCTGCTTTTAAGGCACCCCTAGAAGATGGCAGCAGCGTGGTGGCACTTATTACTGCAGTACCACCACTTATAAGCTACAAGTTCCAATGGCATCATCTCTCCTCATAGCTACAAATTCACAGAAATTCACGCTTGTGAGAAAAATTATTTGCTAACATTCTCCGGTTTGCTACAGTGCCACAGAACAGCAGCTAAAGCACCTGACAGCCATGGAGGGAAGAAGGGATAGATGTACTTTCCATTTCAGCATGTTACCAGACACTGAAGTATTTGCTTTGAAGAATGATGTCATCATACAGGACTCAAAGCTTCGCTCACTGGGGCTTATCCAGCTTCTCAGAACTACACAGCAACTGGGATCCACAGGAGCTTAGTATCTGCTCCAAAGCATTCGGGGACTATTTGTGTCTACTTACTGGAAGCCCATGTTATACCCCTCCCTAGGAAGCTGCTTTCAATTAAAAGAGCTGATGTCTGTTCTTCTCAGAGGTTCTAATACAGCTCGTCTCCCACCCACACATTTTGTACACAAACATCGAGAGACAGAATGAACAAGGCCAGAGAGCACTGTGGGATCTTCCCACAAGAGGGAATGCCTGGAGGATTCCCTTTGACTGATTTATACAATCTCTTGTCAATCATGGGGACAACATGTTCTTCAAACTGCCTCTCCTGTTTTCCTCCTCTTACTCAAGGGGACCGAGGAATGTGTCAGCAGAAAGGGAAAAGTGATATATCGGGAGCGTCTAGTTCGTTGCCACATCTAAAACGCGTTTACTATTGCAATCAACTCCATTTCCTCATAACATTTTCTTTCAAAGTAATATGGGAATATTTGCTGAAGAGCAAATTTTGGAAGGCACCCTTGTGAATGATTCCCAGCCATCCCATGACTTCAGGCAATGTTAAGTTGTGTTGATGGGCTCCTGTTGCAGACAAACTATAGGTTAGGGATCACTGATCCTGCAGACTGGGCACTGGACTAGGTCTCAACCTGACTGTGCCCAGCACACGGTCCCATTACAACCTTCTGGGCAGCACTTGGTTTTTCCAGGCCTGAGGGCCCCATCTGTAAGATGAGGGTGATATCTCCCCATGTCACACAGGTATCTTGAGGGTAAAAGCCATTAGTCACAAAAAGGTGCTCGGATATTACAAAGAGAAGGGACAAACAAGCACATGCACGTGTGAAGGTTACACCTCCCCGCAGGAGTGGGTTAAACACAAACAGACACCATCCTGCTCTGTCCTTCCCATCGAGCAAGCACAGCCAGACACCGCAGGCTTCGCATACGCTGGTGGTTGTCGTCTCTCACATTGTAACATGAAAATAATTCTAAATGCAGACAGGCAAAGCTGCTATTTAAAGGAGGATGCTGCCCTGCTCAGCTCTGGCACACGGCTGACGCCGCGGTTGGAGTGGACGTGCCTGTCTGCATGCCCGCAGGCGGCTGTAAACAGAGCAAATCTCCCATGCGCAGATCTGTCTGCTCCCCAAATCCCATCTGTTGTCCCATGGTGGGGCTTCCTCCAGACCATGTCTTCAAGCTAAGTATGGCTGCGAAGGGCCATCACAAGCCATCAGGCAGTGACCTCCTTCTGGGGGTGGAGGGTGGAAGTGGTTATCATGCCCCGAACGCGCGGCTGCTGCCTCTCCCTCCCTCCTTTCTCCTGGGGACTGTGCTGCTGCCACTTCTGCACCGAGACAGACAACACTGTGGGTTTCTGGGATGAAACGGGCTATACCCTGCCCCATTTGCAAAGCAGCAACCACAGAATAAGCAGGAACAGGATCTACTGGTAAAACCCACAGTACCATCTATTTGTGGAGCACACAACATCCTGAGTGAGGTTGTACGATGGCACAGAAATACTCATGGACTGATACAAATCCGTGGAGGCACAAACAGGACATGTTCTGTTGTATGAAGATCCAGCTAAAGAACAGATTTCAACCATAATACTGAAACCTAATTAATCTACAATTTTTAGCCAACTGCTCTGCAAAATGTTATTTATATTTAACTCAACACATGCCAGAGAATCCCAACCATGACATAAGCAGCATTTTAACACATCCCTTACAAATGAAAGCTTTCTCTCTCCATTGCCAGACATGGAGGTTGGCAGTCACCCAGACCTTTTATTCTTAAATATGATATTGTTCTTGCAGACCTAAGGTTAATCTTAATGAAGGATGAGAAACTATGGTGTAGTTGCGAAGTATCAGAAAGGTTCCTGCTTGTTTATTGCCCAATGTTATAAGGCAGCTTGACTGCCACATGGACACCACCCAGTTTGCTGACTGCAGCACAGACCTCCAATCTGTTCTGAAAGCTGTTGCACTGTTCTTCTCGCTTAGGCTGGGAATTGGGTTGGAGTTACAGAAAAAATGATATTGCC